ATAGCTAAATGGTCATATAAATAGGAACACCACAGGTGTTCTGCTGAGCACAGGCCACCATGAATAACAATTTATACTGTGTGAAGCATAGCTGGAAATATTGGTAATAGAAACTGTGGTACAGGAGGTTAACAACATGCCAAGCAGGTAAGACTTAAAGCTCTTAATAATGACCAAAAAAAAGTGTAAAGCCTTAACAAAATAAGCTTTGAAATTCATCAGCAGTGCTTTTTAAGGGGCGAGGTTTCCAAAGGTCCCGAAGAGACACTTTAGTCTCACCGAGCTTCAATGGCAGGTGGACACAGCTCCCTGAGATGTTTTGAAGCATCGTGTGAATTTCTCCACATCTCAGTTTCAAAGGGGTTTGAGGGCAGGAGCGTGTCAGCATTCGGCTCTGAGTAATGCTATGTGCAAACCGATGCTGGAAATACTCGGCGAAGGGACTCCAGGTGTCACACCACGTCTCAGCAATGGGCGAGGAGCCACATGCTGACCTGAGCGAGGCTGCAGCCCTTTGCATCCCCACCGATTTGCCCCCAAGCCCATTCCTCAGTATTTTTATCATCCATATTTCTTTTGGTCCCAGGGAGGAACCGCAACCGACTTGGCGTGGTGAGATGATGCTACAGCATGCAGGTGTGGAGTCTGTGATGGGGTTATGACTTGGGGACACATTTCCCTGCACACCTCGCCGGTGGTCCCGGGCTGCCGGGAGCGTGGAAGCTGCATGGGGGCTCTGCGGGGCTCGCCCCCAGCCCGCCCTGCGGCTGGGGCCAGGGGAGCATGACGTTTAATTAAAGAAAGGCCGCCTGCTCTGGGATGCCTCCCAGACCGTCGCTGCCATTTCTGTGATTGACAAACAGGCAAAAATATATTTATTCAAGGATTATCTATATTGAAAACCGGACGCGGGATTTTGTCTTTGTAAACAGTGCAGTAATATCTGCTGTTTGAACAAAAGGAAGGGTATACTTTCCTTCCATTTAAAGCACCTAAAGCTCCCATATTTAAGTGAAAAGGAGAGACATTTGGTTTTATTGATCCTGCTTGCTGAAGATTTGGGGGTTTTTAAATAAGATCTGTGACTAAGGGAGCAGTGGGTTGATTTTCACTTTATTGGAAGGGTTATTACAAAGCACACGGCATAGAAGTTATTAGAGAGATGCGTGCCCTTGAAAACAGCCCTTAAAATCTTGCACAATTAGGAAAATTCAGAATGATCCAGCATATTTCCTCATAGCGAGGAAAGTCACTTTGATATATTGAGGACCCAAAATGTAACACTGCATTGCTCTGAATAATAATTTTATTTTGAAAAGCCACATTTGAAGAGAGCACTTTGTTACAGATGGGAACACAGCTACTTTCATGGATCTAAATTAGGCTACAGAGAAATAGCTCCTTCAAAAATGAACACCCTTATTGATAGTTTCACTGTTGCTCAGACAGATCTTTCCCTATCATCTACCTACAAATAATCCCATAGATGTTCAGATATCAAAGGACCAAGTCAGTACATTAGCCATGTATGTTGGTCAAGGGATGAACAATCCACAGGATAAAAGACCTTCCCCCAAATATTTGTCAGTTAAATCTATTGTTTATGCAAAATACTGAACTGGCTGCCCTCCAAGCTAGGTCTTTTTATCCACAGAACAGAAGCAGAATGAGTAACCAAAATTTCCCTCCTCATTAATGTGCTTTTACTGTGCTCTGAAGGACAAGAGCAGCAGTGCAAGGGCCTTGTTCTGGCCAGCTCAGCACAGGACCCCTCTTTTCCCAGGACTTGTGCTGTCTTAGTCGGACTCATGCACATGCTCGGGGCTGCTTTCCAGAAAGAAACAACTGGCCAGACACTTTGCCGAACCTGGGCTACACTTGAAAGCAAAGCTCCTTCTCTGCTTTTTCATCCCACTTCTCCGAATGGATGCTGCTAAAACTGGGAAGTGGCCGGCACACAGGTGGCAGTGCCATCACCCTCATCCCGTTTCTCCACCACCACCACGGTGGACAGCAGCCTTGGCATTGCTCAAGAAGCCCTGGCAAGCAGTCCCCATCGAATATTGTCTCCTTGGTGTCAGCACCTTTTCTGATTTCTCTGCCCTTCCTACCATAGGGTGCTGTCTGGTTCTGGTACGGTCGCTTTTTACATCACCTTCTACCCATCAGGCACAGCTTGCTCTTGTGCCCTGTATTCTTTTATTACGTTTCCTCTCCCTTGTTTTTTTGGTCTGGCCCCTCTGTCCAATTTGTCTTGTATCTACTTATACCTTGAAGTCAAAATCCACCATGGCTAACATAGAAGTTCATTTCCCCCTATACCTGGCTGGGTCTTCTTTTGGGATGGGAAAACAGGGTTGTCTTGAGGAACAACTATCGTATCCAGAAGACGTGGACTCTAGCTCTGCCTCCAAATAATGCAGCAGACTTCAGTAAATCATATTGCCTTTCTGCCTTGGTTCCCCGGGTTGTATAAAAATGGGGTTTTACCTCACAGCAGCATTGTGAGAATTATTTAATGTTTATGAAATGCTTTTAATATGTAGGGTATGACCTGATTGTGGTTATACTATGATTTCCCATAATGTAATTCCATTGACATCCAAATCCCTTTTTACACTAGGATGAACATATTTAGAATTAGGCAGAGAAATATCTCTAAAGAAAAGACAGGATCCTTGCAAAGAATTTAAATTAAATAATCATTATTACTTTGTAATTTATGATCTGAACACAATCCCTATTTTGGTAAATAAAGCTCAGATGATTTCTTGTGATGTGCATATTGCTAAAATTCAAATATTGTTGAACATATGTTGTTTTTCTGTTTAGCTGCTTTTTTCTCTCCTTCAATCAAATATACAAGGGGTTTTTTAAGGAAATGTCAAATGTTGAAAACAACACTGATATCTTACAAGTTTCCATCTGGACAAAGATATCACTGTCTAATTTTTTTACTCGCCTTAGAAGCTGGTCAGAGGCATAGTACTGTTAGCTGAACTCAACTCTATTTCTTAAGCTTGCATTATTAATTTTGCATCATGATAAGATATTTACTCAAAGAGGCAGCTAGTTCTTTCCTTTAAAAGTGATGTTATTTGCAGGAATGACCACATTTTTTTTCCCCCAAATGAAGTTATGCAAATCTGATCGACTAAAGTAAATGTTTCATAAAACCAATGACTGTTTAAATTGTGGGACTAAATTGTTTGTATATAAATATTACCTTTTATATTCCATTTGAGTTTTATGTAGATGAACACATTACTTTAATGACCTGCATTTACAGAGGGAGACAGGGAGAGTCTGACTCTGAAATCCTCAGCAGCCAGATGGCTGCCTTTTCTTGCATGAGATTAAAAGATGTTTCTCATTCACAGCCCTGCTTCAGAGGCAAATTAATATAGCCAGCTAAATTGCTTGTGTTTTTGGAATAAAATTTAAAGAGAACTTTTTAAAGCAATTGGTGTCACAGGTTCCTAGAGCAGATTGCTCTCCAGGTACAGCATGCTGGTTTTAAACATTCAGTAATTAATGGAAAGTATTCCGTGTTAATTGACTGCTTCAGGAAAGGGAAATATAATGACTCCTTATTAATCATGAAAAGAGACATACAGCACGGAGGCAGTGCAATAATTGCACTAACGGTTGAGAAATGTTAATTAATGAAAAGAACAATGATGTAAGAAATTAGCTACATAATGCTTGCTGCTGATGGAGATTGTGCTTTAAACACATTATTTAGCATGGCAGCCACTGGATGTTGCTTTAAATAGCAGGCACCTCTTACCTTTTCCTTTAGTCAACTATGGAGTTCCAAATGTTGCCAGTGTTTTGGTTTTTAATGAGCCAAAATACACTCTCCAAAACTACTTTTTCTGAAGTGTTTTCAGTTTGAACTCCTGAACTCAAAACTATTCAAACAGATTGACAAGGTTTGACTTATATAAAAATATTATCCAAGTGTAAGACAGCATGTTAGTGTTTGGGTGGTGGGGAACAACTTCTTGTTAGATGGGCTGAGCTAAAAGGGTTTGCCAAGAAGATAACTGCACGATGACTTCTTTCCCCTTTTTAATTTTACCACTTTTTAACCAATTACCTGTCCCCTGAAGAGTTTAGAGTAAGCATCTTGTCATATTTGTGCCTAGCTTGATGTAAAAATTCGGAGGCTATTAAAATGCAGAACAGTTCTGGCAACTAATCCAACAGCAGTAGTATGGAGCTCAGAGTCATTAACAGATTGAAGGCCTCAAGGTTTCCACCATCACTCTGTTGCACCTTTAAGACAGCAACAGGGTGAGACATATCCATCACTCTGAACACTTCAGAGCAGGTCAAATTATTGGTTACTAATAAATTGCCTAAAAGCATAACTCTTCTTTTTTCTCTTCAGGAACAGGATTTGATTCTTATGGATGTCTTCATATCTGCATGATCATTTATGCAAGGAAATGTCAGCCTGTGAGGCTTTTGAAAATTATTCATAACAGTTTTGTGGGAATTTTGGCCACCTAAGTCACATGTTATCTTGGTTGTATCACTAAGGGATGACACTAATGTAAGACAAATGGTAAATAAAGGTAGAATAACAAAAGCACTCATTTTAGCTCTACCAATGCAGGTGTAAAATTACAGATGCAGAAAAAAAATAAAATTCTGCTAAAGACATGCTAAATGAATGTTCATCAAACAGCAAATTCTTTTATAAGGAACAGTTCTCAACAAAAGGCCTCTGTTTGCAGTAACACAAGACAGAAATACATCCCTTAAGTCAGCGGCATCACAGTAATCTAAAATGATTGTAAAGGAGGAATCAGTCCACGGGTGTATAATAACCTAACAGTGCAGTGCTTCATGCATCATAAGACAGGGACAGGAATGGTTTCATCCCTCATCCCTCCAACCCATGTGCTGGCCTTTGCTGATTTTCCCAGGGCAGTTCTCTTGTGGCCATTCCTCCACCCATGTGTTTTATCACTCCTGAATTTCTTTTCCAGATGGAACATTCTTGGGCTCCAGGGTGCTCTCCTCAGCTCCTTCATCGAACCCATGTACTTGCACAGCATCATTGTGGGAAGCCTCTATCACACTGGTCACCTTTCCCGAGTAATGAGCCATAGAATAGAAGACATTGGTCAGCTGCCAGCTTCATACCGGCGCAATCAGCTGCTTCTCAGTGGTAAGCAAACACCTGCCTGCAAGACAAATGATGCCCTCTCCCATCACTAATTTTGCTGGTCACCAACAGGAAAGTTTACTTGTTTGTAAGGAAACCATTAGGCCATACCTTCTTTTTTTCCTGCGCAGTATGAATTTGTAGAATGAAGAAACTGATGCATTTAAATCCAGTTCCTTTTTCATATGCAGTGAGCACAAAAAGGATCAGTAGTGGATATAAGCTGTCTAGGAAAACTAACACTGTACAAAGACTGCTCGAAGTGGACTAAAGTGTATGACTAAGTAAAAGATGTCTAAAAACCAGGGAGGAAGTGTTCAGTAAATTTTAAGTTTAACTCTCTCCCGCCCTGCTCTCCCTTACCCAGTGAGCAGACAAATGTGCAGAGTCAGGAGGAGAACCAGCCCTCACACCTCCGGCCCCGTGCATGCAGCCCCGCCATCCATGGCCCTTACTCGGAGCCCTGCCCCTTCACCACTTGCTAGCCATCGTCTTCGGAGCAGATGGCCATGAGAAAAGGGTTGTTCATTCATGCAGGAGATCCTGCCTTCTCAGCAGACCTCGGGGAGGCATTGCTGCCATCTGACGAGGCTGCTGCCTGTCGTGTGAGCATCTCTGTGGTTTCCAGCTATCTTTCGGGCTACTCTCACTTCCACCACTTGTCCTTCCCAGCCCCTGTCCCTACCCCATGTCTCTGGTCCTTTCTTCTCCATCCCCCTGACTCTCACTTCCTTAACCCCAAGCCAGGCAGCAGCTGTCTGGCCTCATCCCAGCAAAATCCCACAAAGTCTTGAATGCCTTCAGATCCTCATGAGGCATGTGAGTGCTACGGGCCACCAGTTCTGCACAGGATTATATCCTTATTTTACTCTTAGACTCTGATAATTGTTCTTCAGGAGGATTCCCTGTGACACCAATACGATGTCAGGGTTACAGAGTTTGGAGGTCCAGATGCTTTAGTGGAGTACACCGTTGTCTTTCAAAGTCCTCTAGGTTCCTCAGTCAGGAGAGGGCTGTTTTATCCCTTATGTATTTTATGTTCTTTTTTTGTTTTTTTTTAATGCATCCTTGTGACAAGATTAGTTCAGCTGAGGCAGAAGTGATAGTTTAGCCACTGGGGAAATTCTCAAGTTCTGTGTGGTTTAGTACGTCTGGTAAGTGCAATGTGCATGTACGTGTTATAAGGTGATTAGGTCAAAAGGCTTATCCTTATTTGAACAGCTTATCTCCATTTTTTAACTCTTCAGTGCAGCTAGCCAAAGATTGTGCAATGCAAGTATGCAGGAAACTGTGCTCCATACTTCTCCTCCAACCCATGCCCCTTCCTATCACTCCTGCCCTGGCCCAGCATGGGCATGACTCAGCCCCATCTCCCTTCCCACGCACATCGTGGGAGGAAAGGACTCACAGCTGGTTGGGAAAATCTCCCTGTTTTCCAAACCTGGCTGTTATTTTGGCAAAACACCTCTGTTTGCCAGAAGCCTCTGCATCTCCCACTGAGGAAGCTGATCTCATCCTGTGACAGCCCTAACTCATTTTAAGTCCACCCATACATTAAGATCAAAATCACACCCACTTTCACTGTGTCTGCAGGATGTACAGGGAAACCCAGTAGAACTGTTGAAGGACTGAAAACACAATAAGGGATTTAATAAGAGATTTAACCACAGAACAGCTATTGCTTTGCTGGGTTGGTCTTGTGGAGTAAAAGTAATGGCTCATGCTTGGCCCAAGTGCACATTTGTGTCCAAGAGTCATTGCCAGAGATTTCAAGGGAGTTAGAAATGTATCAGAGGGGCCCTTGTGTCATTTTAAGTATCTGCATGTTTCATGGCTGGCTTCCTCCTTCCCAGAGACTTCTGTTTGGAAAAGCTTTTGCTTTGCTTTTGGTTGTGTTTGTGGGTTTTCTTCAGCCCAGGAGAAGCAGTGGGAGGAATCCGTCTCTCTCTGACTACATTGCTTTTGTCTCTAAAGCCATTATTTGTAATCTTCCCTCCCCCACAAATCCCAGGGAGTCAATACTGCTTAAAACTTACATTGCTGAGGCTTGTGTTACATTTCTCTTACCTGGAAAACTGCGTTGACAGCATATCCAGTGACAAAGGAGATGGGCACCTAGCAAAAGCCAAACCGAATGCATTAGAGACCAAACCTCAGCAACCTCAGTTTCCCACGCTCCTCTCAGGGGTCAGACCAGCTAAGGATTTCAAATTGCAGGAGTCCTTCAATTATAAGGATGCCAATTTTGTCACTTGCTTATAGCTGTCCAAACATTTCAATGGAGAGGAGAGTCACAGTGTGGGATGAGATATCCTGGTATAACTCCTTGGCCCCACAGAAAAATGATCAGTGAGATTTTCCACTCACACCAGTCCCAGCCAGATGGAAATCCACTCATTCACTGGGATTACTCTTGGGTGTATTTTTTAGAAGAAAGATAAGCCCTCTGTCATTTTTATTTCCTTTTCTCTTAAGATTGAGGCCATTCTAAATGGTACCCTGAAGAGGCATGAGGCTTTGCTAGGAGAGAGAGGAGAATGAGGACAGATTTCAGTTCATATCCCACAGTACTCAAGTTCATGTTATTTGTACAAAGACTCCTGTTTTCCTTCCAGTTTCTACCATCTCCTGTTGTACTCTTTGTTGTGTTGGTTTTAAGGAGGACGTTTTACATGAAGGAGAGAAAATTATCTGGATTATTTAGGTGTTACCTTTCAAATAAAATTAGAACAATTATTTTTCAAAAGAAAAACATGAAAAAAAGTGTTAAAAAAGGATCAAAAACAACAATCAGAGAATATATCTAGGCTCTATATTTGCATCTGTCATGAGTCTCATGGTGTTTTCTTTAAAGCCTCTTCTCTTGCATTTGGAAAATGATGTGAAAGTATCTTCTACTTACCCAAATACATGTACTTATGTATGATAGCTGGGAAGAGAAAGCATGAAAGCCAAAGCAGCACAGAGGGTGTTCCAGGCACGGGGGCAAGTTCCCAGCTCTCACGGATGTCCACCGAGAGCAGAGGGAGCCTCAGGCTGGGCAGGGGCGTACACTCCCCACCGACAGGCACCCCAGCCTGCTCTCTCCTCCATGCAGCCTTTCCTTCTTTTCCTCTGGTCAGTGTTTTCACAACATTTTTATTGTTTTAGTGGCCTGTGGCAACTTTGCACGGCAGGGTGTTTGCTATCGTGTTTTTTTGGCACACAGTCCTCTAAGCCTTTGGGTGCTATCTCAACAGAGAGTGATGCATCATGTCAAACAGCCGATTTTGATCTGTCTGCATCTTGTTCTGTATAGAGGCATTTGAATAGCACCAGAGAGCTATCTATCTGATTTTCAAGGGCTCAGTTTATATCCTGTTGCCTAGGTGAACTGGAGTTTTAGATGCAGACTGATCTGTTATCTCGGGGTGGGGGCAGGGGGAATTGAAAGAGGTATTAATACAACATGAGTATGTTTACAAATCCTGGGTGAGGTTATGACTTAGCTATAATTCTCTTCTACACATGGTAGCGAGTTCAGTCCCAGTGACCGAGATGATTTCTGCAATTCCAGCTTTGCCACCGGTACAAAGTGGTTGTGCCATATAATTTTTTTGCCTTCAAAGGCCACCTTTCTCTCTCTGTGCGTGCTCAGTCCTGTCTGGCTCTTGCAGCTCCCTCCAGGGGCAGAGGGGACGGGACGACAAAGGGAGCCATGCTCCCTCACTGACATTGCTTCTCATGATGCTGGGAGGCCCCAGGCAGGAGGCAGACTGATCCTGCACAGCCCTCCGCGTCTCCCATGGTGTCTCTCAGGGGCTTACCAAGCTCAGCGTGCTCAACATCGTGACGGATGCTGCATTCCCACCAGCTCCCACCTCCTCCCGTTCTGCCTGAGATCAGCAGATGCTCATGGTGTGTATCTGTTCTGAAAATGAGATCCCTGAGCAAGGGGCAGTTTGGAAAGGAGGCGCTTTGATCTCTCTTCTTTAATCTCCTCCTCTCTGAACAGCCTGCATCAGTACTTCTCCCTCTCTGCAAAAGTTCTTTGAAACCCTTCAGCAGAAAATGCAAAGGACCTTTCTCTGTTGCCCTCCACCCGGGAGCAATGAAATCAGGTCCCATTAAGCTATGCAAACCATGAGCTGTTGCTGGAGCTGCTGCAGGCAGGGGCTCCAGCGGGATCCGCCGTTTGGAAACAGAGACCCAGCCCTGGCGCTGGCCTGTGCCAAGGCGGCTGTGCCAGGCAGCTCCTGCCCACAGCACAGAACCCACCTGTCTGCTCACCACAGTGGCTTTTGTTGTCCAGGTTTGCAGGCTAGTGGCCCACACAGCAAATGAGTAGAAAGGGACTCAACAGGTGGCTCCAGACACATCATCCAACGCCCACATTCTCCAAAATATTCAGACTGCTTCAGGTCACTGTCTTTTCCAGCCTTGGAAGGTCCCAGTGTTGATTCTTTGCTCCCAAAAGCACTAATGAGCAGGGCAAGGCAGAGCTCACTTGATTGCATTTATCCTGTGCTGGAAAATAAACCAACCACTTCCTTTATTCCTCTTATTTCCTTGCAAAGGGGTTTCAGGTACAAGAAATGAGAAAGCGACAGGAGTCATGGAAAGGTTGAACTACACTAAATGGTTAAGAGACAGGAATTTACCTGATTAAAAATAAGTCTCCTTCATGTACACACCCACACTTGACCTTGCAGCCCTGATCTGCATTCAGAGCCAAGGGAGATCTCACCTATGTAGGCAGTGGCCTCCAGTATGTGATTCAGATGTCCAAAACTGGTCATGTGAATGACACAAAGGTCATGCAGTCACCCCAGGTGACTGAAAACTTCATCATTGTAGCTGTCTAAAATTAAGTAAGATGCATTCCACTTAAAGATGTCCAAAATTTTGCCATTAGGACACCAACTAGCTCTCGAAGAGATTGTTGCACCTATACAGGAAACTTGCAGGCAGACACAAGGTGGGGAGCAAGAGTTTTCTGTGTAGGTTTGTGATGTCCACAAGGTCATTATTAACTTGGATCTAATAATCTTTTGTGATGATGAAATGTATGATGTTTTGCATTTTCATATCCCCCGTTTATATCCCCTTTGACCTAGACTTCCGATTACAGCGGAGGCCCCAGCAGTTAATGGCAGATAAATATGCTGGACCATGGAAAGCTCACCTGGAGGAACTCACGGCAAAAGCACTTTGCTGCTTAGTTCCTTTTAAAAACCAGCTATCCCATTAAAGCGTTTCTGAAAGATTTCACTCAGCAACTGCCACACTGCTGTCAATAGCACACACTACAATCTAACGGCTTTCCTTAGGCTAACAAAAAGTTTGCCTGCAAGGTGGAAAAAGATCTATAGGAATTGCTAAATTATGTCTCTCTAAGGTATTCGCCCTGGTAACACTTAACCGATGGTGACAACAGCATGTGCAGTGCACAATGTCAGCATGTTCACTTAAGGATGTCTCATGTGCCACAATGACCCACCAGATGTTAGCAGCCTCTGAAGATTTTGAGCACTGGATGTTACTGGTGTCCTTCTCTCCTGCCAGGGGTTAGCCACGCTGACGCTCGGCAGCCCGGAAAATCTCCCAGCTTCAGTGTGAACTGGATTGTGGGGAATGCCGACCTGGAGGTTATCAACGCCACAACGGGGAAGAGGACCTGCGGGAGTCCCTCACGGCTCTGCAAGCACATGTTCTTCACTCGGTGGGCAAAGCTTCATGGCAAGGTAGGTCTGATGCACTGACAGGATGCTGCCGCCAGCTCTAGGTGGGCTAGTCCTTACCCCGGAGTCATCCGTGTTCTAGCAATCTCATGATGAAGCTGCAGCCTCCGCAGGTGTCCTGCATCCCTCCTGGCAGAGGATCAGGAGCTAAGAGCCTGCAGGGTCGGCTGCAGGAGCTGGGAGTCCAGAGAAAGGCAAGGGCAGAAACCCAGGTGGGTTTGGAGGGGAGGTGCATGTTCTGGCTGTCCTTGGCGATGGAGCCATGCTCAGATGAGCAATCAAAAGCCAAGAGACTGTTAAATGTCCATACAAGCACAACTGCATAATGTTTTATGCATCTTGTGCCAAGCATCCCTTTGACTCTAAGGGGAGTATTCAACTCACTAAGTCTTAGAGGCCTGAGGGAAGTATTTCTCATCACCTTGGAGGCATCTACCTCACTTCGTTGTTCCACAGGGGTTTAGACTCACAACTTAAACCGCTCCCAATCTCACCAAAGTTAGCTGACTAAAGCAGGTGCTCTGGATCACCCATTCTCCTCCTCTTCCTCACTCTCCCAGATGTGCTGATAAATCCATACAACAATACAGCTGCTCCTCTCAAGGTGAGTGGCCAGGTGCTGAAGGCTCTCTGATTTCATTACACTCAGCAGCAGTACAATGTAATGGCATTAAAACTACAGGTTGTACTTAATTAAAATGGCCACCACCCCCTGACAGCCCTGCTTTCTCTAGGGAAGATAGCCATGAACTCCCCTTGTTTGAAATGGCACTGAAGACAACCTGCCCTCACACTTCAGTTACTTCCCACAGACAGGAGACAGTGTCAGGACAGATGGATGGCCAAAAACTACAGGGTGGAGCCTAGGGATGTAGGACATATATGAAGAAATTTGATGTGGAATAAGGAAAATTTCCTCTCATTATTCCTGGTTCTGGAGTCACCGTTTCTCCTCTTGCCTGACCCTTCAAGAAAGTGCTGGGAGAGAGAAAGACCCCACCACTTCCAGGAGGAGCAGCAGAGAAAACACAAAGTGTCTCTTCAGCCCACCTGCTTTCACTGCTAGAATATTAATTTGCTGTAAGGAAGCTTGTCAAGAATTGTCCTGCAGTCCATGTAGAGTGGGAGAAGATGAGGACAAGAAAAAATTATTTTATTAAGTGCCAAAACCTTTTTCCTGTTGGGGAACGAGTGGAAAAGAGGAAGGCAGAGTGACGGCAGGGAAGTCTGGAGCCACTTCCACCAACGAAGTCATTTGGGAAGGCAACGGACAGGCAGGGTGGGGAGGTATGAGGACAAGCCCGAAGGGGTTGTTCTGCTCTGCAGGAGACCCCATGGAAGGAGGCTGGGGGACTCAACCCATCCCAAGCAGTGACACGACCTGTCCTAGCAGGGACCCTGAGTCTGGGGGGGGAGCAGAAGGGACCAACCTGGGCTTCGTGCCCAGGGCTCAGTCACAGTTTGGTGGCACAGGTCCCAGCCTATTTCTTGCACAGCAGTTGGCATGGGGAGGGGGGCGAGAAGCACTTCTGCTGCCCCCAAAACGAAAGGATCCTCATGGGAAAAAACCTGGGGCAAGCTGGGCCCCAGGGCAGGCTATGGCCAGGACTATGGCTGGGAGAGCTGGACTGCACCTCGCTCACACCAGGGATGGGGTTGGGATGAGCAGGAGGGACTAACTCATGGCTGAGCAGGGCACTTTGCTTTTGACAAAACGAAGCGTTTGAGAATGTCGTCGGTGTCCCCCTCTGGGGAACAAAGGGGCAGCTGGGGGGGAGCCACCGCCAGCCAGGCCAGCTCGTGGCCCACTGACGCCCAGGCTGGCAGCATCGCCCTCCCTTGCTGGCTGGGCCAATACACCCGGCCAGAGCTGCCCCACGGCGTGCTGGCACCACAAGGACTGGAGCAGCTCATTTCGGGCTGCGCGATCGCCTTTTCCTTTAATCTGTCTTTCAGCATGTCTCCTTTTTAGAGAGAAGGAAAAGAGTGGTGTTTGCTCACCACGCTGTCCTTTGAGGGTGTGTTTTCCTACAGGCTACTATTTCCCTGGCTTGTAAGCATTGGTCTTCCACCTGTCTGCTTGCTCTAGGGCATTTTCCAGACTTGGGTTTTTTCATATAATGTCAAAGCCTCACTGCTGGTTCGGCACTGTTGAGACTTGGGCAGGTCTAAGGAGGTCATTTATTTAGTCCTTCTGCAGAGCAAAGGGGCCAACAGACCACTCCGTTTTCCTGCACCAGCACGAATCCCGATGCCTAATTTCTGCCCTGTTCTGGGCAGGTTTCACAGCATTTTCGACAATAACAGATTAAAAAGGGAAAAGGGGAGAGTGTGGGAGGGGACTCTCCTTGTGTCTCTTGGCATTACTTGGAAGCACTGAGCTGCTCTGCTTCCCGGGCTAAACTGAACACACTCTTTAAAGATCCCCAGAAAGGATTTTTCCTTTTTTTGTCCCTAAAAATCATCTTAACTGAGAAGTAGGGGTTTGCCTTTGTAAAGCACACCAAGATTTGCTACTGCCTATAGGCACTCCAAGGCAAAGCTGTTTACCCCGTTCCTCTTCGCAACGGCTCGAAACCATGTCACAGGCATTTATTGCTTCCCTGTTTTTTTGTTGTTAAACCAAAAGCAAACACACAAAGCACAGTGATAGTTTGTTTGTTGCTTATGAAATGTAGACAGGAAGATTATACAGCTACTGAAGCCTCCTGTTTCTTTTGGCTCATTGGTTGATTTTTTTATTTTTATTTTTTTCCCCTTCCCTGATTTTTGTTCTGCAGCTGAGCACACGAATACCAAGCCATGGAGACATGCCATCAGTGTACAGCGAGGCAAAGCTGGTGGCTCAGACGTACCAGTCTGTCAAGCAGCAGCTGTTTAAAGCGTTTCAGAAAGCCGGTCTGGGCACCTGGGTGAAGAAACCCCCAGAGCAAGATCAGTTCCTACTAACTGTATAAATCACTTGACACCTTTGCTACATGACTGGATCAAATCAGCTGGAGAGAAGGCTAGGCAGGACACGTGAGCCGAGAGAATTGAAGCAGTTTGAGATTTAATAGCAACCTCAACGGGAATATTTGCTTTTAATTCTGTATTGGAAATACGTAAATAGAAATGTGTCTGATGCACTGAACTTGACTTTAGAAAACTGCTTTTCCATGACCCCTTCCCAAGAATGTACCTGCCCAAATTACAATGCCACCCCCACAGATTCTGCATTTCATTGTTTATTGCTGTTGGTTATTACTGATTGGAGGTGTTAGTGGGCACCTGTCTGATCCCAAATAGAGTTTGTTTTCCCTCACACAATCAGTGCAAGAGTCATCACTGAATAATGGAAAATAGTGAGCAAAGACGGAAGTACCCTAGGCACGTGGCATGACAGCAGGTCTCAGAGCATCCATAATCATCCAAAAAAAGGTGTCTAACCTCTATGCAAAAATCATCCTGTTAGCTGCCTAAATCTGTGAGAAAGAATTTGGACCTCAAAGATATGCAGCATTTTTAAACTCCCTTTTCCACTGCTGGCTCTGAGCACAAAGCCAAGTGTCCTTGGACAAACCACTTCCCACCAAATCTTCAAATCTGGCCAGGAGTTTTGCACTTGCAAATTTTAATTACCCATGCCCAGTTCATCACACGTGCCCTTTAGACACCAGCCAGGATGCAGATGCTTGTCAAGAGGGCGATTCAACCCTGTACTGCCTGCGGAGGTGCACAGTTCCAAGGGCTGCCGGTGAAGACCGCTGTGATGATGCTCCTAGCTCTGGAGCTTCAGGTAGCTGCCTAAAGTCAGGCAGGCTGGGACCAGGACCCAGAGCCTCAGATTTCCAAGCTCGTGACGATCCACAGCTTTAAATTAAGTGGATGTGAGCTCAGGATGCTCCATACATCTGAAATATCGCTGGGTTGGGTAGCCACAACTAAGGCATCCCAAACGAGAGAGTGCATTTGATACTTGGCTCTTTCCTGCCTCAGTTTCTCCACCTGTCAAATGGGGATAATAATACTTACCTGCTTCACATTTAAGGAACTTGGCAGGGTCAAAGTGCTCTGGTCGTATGATGCTGTCACTCTTGCAGTGAGTTTTACCTCCCCACATAGTCCAATTGATGTAAGTGCAGCAGATGCAACTACAGGCTTGGGTAAGATAAGGTCTTACTCAATGTAAGAGCTTTCAGATACTAGCTCTGTGTAAATGCCAGGTATTACTATTGTTCATGTTCATCTGCAGCCTGAAAAGCAGGTGGGGTTTTTCAGTTAGGAAACGAGTAGCACCCAACAGTTAAATATTTTCTTCATAACTGTGGCTGGGTCTGATATAATCTCATCTTTGAACCATCCCAAACTTCATCAGAATGCAGAAGATACAGTCATGGGAGAACTGAGCTTTGATAGTCCCACTGCAGAACCAACCTTCAAACGCCCTGTGCATTTCTTTCAGTTTTTGGTTTTTTAAATGACAGGATTTGCGGGTATATAACTACTGTTTTCTTTTTATTCCTGTGATTCTCTTTAAATCTGTATATAACATGCTGCTACTGATTTGTGATAACTGTCTTGGTATTTTCTCAGAACTGTCAAGCTGAGTTACTTTTCAAACAACACAAGGCTCATATTTTTCCATGTAATTTCCTTTACACGGGAAACTGTTCCTATCAATAAAGATAGATGCTCTTTGTATAGGGTTTATCATGTTTGGAGAGCCATATACAGTAAATACATTGTTTATTGATGCCCACAATAGAATAGCTACAGTATTTTGATGAGATTTTATTTTTAGATTATAAACTACAAGATGTATCTATAGTGTCTTGTATAAAAACAATTGTGATAAACTAGAATTTTTAAATTAGATAAAACAAAGCTCTCCCCTTCCAGAAACCTTTTCAGCAAAATAATACATTCCATATTAACTACCAAAAATATTTAAAAAAATATCCTTAGAGTAGAAATAGTTAAAAAAAAAAAAAAAAAAAAAAAGAGACGTTTCAATAATGGAAACGTTTTGTGGTAACCACTTTGTCAATAGTTTGACCAGTTTGTCAGCTCTTCTGAATAACATTCAGAATTTTTTTGGCGCCTTCTGGAGCTTCCCAGTACCTCCACACAGTCCCGTCCTCTAACTCAGCTGTCTCTGGTGCAGCCCTCCAGTGTGATCTGGGCAGCAAAGGTGCCCAGAGGGGCAGTGGGCGGGTGGGGGGGTCAGGCCCGTGACTGGAGGTGCGGGAGAAGCTGTGGGTGACACTGGCAGTGGTGGTCCCAGGGGCTCCCACGGAGGGAGAGAAACCACAGGGCAACCAGAGAGGAGGACAAGGGTTCTCATGCAGAGATCCACAGGGCAGGGGGAAGCAATGTCTTCTACTTTTCCTCTCCAAGTTAGTCTTTATCTAGCACACAAGAGACCTCAATGGCTCCTCCTTACATCTCCCTGCCCTCACCCATCCTCCTCCAGCCCTGGCATGACGTCAGCTCGACTAACGCATATAGCTCCACAGGCCGGTGTCGCAGCTACTGTGACAACAAAACACCGTGCCTGGTTGTTTTTAAGAATAAAAAGAAAAGTGTGGTGGGATTGAATTATCCTTTGTTGCAAGAAATATATAAATGCAATCCTGGATTCAGCTGCCAGAATGAATTTGGTAGTGGGGACCGAACTGAGTCCCCACTGCAAGCAGGCATCAGCTGATCTCATTGGAGGCAATGGAGTTGCACGTGCTTGCACTAGGGTTGAATATGACCTTAAATGTCTACTTCTTCTCATTATGTGCAGCGATAGAGTGTGATGGGACCACATCCCAGAAGCACATATGACCTACATACAGCATTTCCTGAAGAAAAGGAAAAATTGCTCAGTAGTAGTTCTTTAGTGAAGATTCTGTACATAACACGCATGAGTGAATGGCAATACTGTACTAATGGATGTACATTTGTAATATTTGTAAAAAAAAAGAAACAAAAAAGACAACAAAAGAAAATAAATCTGAATTTACATATGTGAATTTGCTGCTAAGTTCTGTAAATTGCACTTCAGTGATACCTGATAAGTGAATGTTTCTGTTAAGTGAATAAAATGCCAAGTAAAATTGTTCTTTCACTGTTTGTTGACCATTTTTCACTGTGGCTTAGCAATCAGTTTGAATGTGCTCCAAAATGCAAGTATGTATTTTTACACACACCTACTGTAGTTCTACAGACAACATGCTCTTACTCAGTTTGGATTTGATGCATTGTAAGAATCACACACTTGTACTGAGAGATAGATGTGCCTGCTCATGCAGAAGAAGCCATACAGGGACACGGTCTTATCCTGGAAGAAGAGTGAACTGGGTCCATCTCTAATTTGATCCTTCCAGGTGACTCTCAAAGATCTTTCTTAATAAAAATTAAATATGTTTTTGCAAACACACTGCATAGGACTTGCTGTATAAAGCTACTTAAGAAAACTATAGTGATGAACAAAAGGTCAGTACATCTGCAGATTTCTTCTTCATTGGTGGAGTGGCCTTGGTTTATTCTTGCTTTAAACTATCAGTATTCAGCTATAGCAGACTAGAGTCGCACTGGGCCCAAATGACACCATCCACACAAAAGTTTTAACATGCATTACTGTATGAGCATCACCCGGTGCCTTGGGATGATTTCACTCGGCCAGTCCTCGCAGAGATCACTGGTATTACCAAAACCTTTCAGAAGCGCCCACTGTCAAAGTATAAATACACCAACAGTGAAAATTGTCTAGAAAGAGATTTTCCTGTCCCCTTCCTTGTGAAGATTTGGTTCCGGGATGAAATTGAGGGCGGCAGCTCACAGGGAGCCCCACCAGCTCGCTGGCCCCACAGCTCCTTGCTTGCTCGTGTTGAAGAAGTCAGTGCCAGACCCACACAGCCCATCCCATGGGTTTCATTCCCCAGCATAACAGGACAGGGACTATGCACAGCTTTATTTTCAAGCTAAGACTTTGCTGCAGTTGCATTTCCTTAGCTTGGATCTGTGTCATTAAGTATTTGGGTGGGATAAGGAGGAGGGGGGAGAAGAAAGCATTTGCAGGGTGAAGTTGTCTGTGTGGAAAAAAGTCATTGTGAGCTGACACGATTCTGCCACCCACAGAACATTTTTGCCTTAAGTAATAAAAGCAACAGATTCTCAGTATTTGTAAATCTCCAAGTGTATTTGCACACATAAATTTCACGGCTTTAACTGGATATAGGTAAAGCAAACCCCATAGTCTCACCCTCACCACAGCCTCAAACACAGCAGTTACTTCCCTGCCAGTAAAAATGGTCACAGCAGCGTAACACTGTCCTAAACAGAAAGGAGAGAAGTTACACCAGTAGAAAGGCAGTTTGTGCTGCTATCCACCTTCCAGGTGATGAGCTTATCATTATTTTGGTGTCAAAAAATGTAAACACCCAAATTCTTGACTTGGCAAAACCCATGCATAGCATCGGCTTTCCTTGCAGAGGGGCTCTTGAGGGGACGTGCCGAGACCAGCCCCAGGGCAGATGCAGGGAACAAGCAGAGCTTTGGCCATGAAGAGCAAAGGGTGGAGGTGAGGAGGTCCCTAGGGGGGCTTCCCAGCAGCCTGGCAGCCCCTCATCCCACTCTGGGGCAGTTTGGCCATGGCTGAGTCCACAGCAGGAGGCTCCCAGCCTGTTTTCTCCTCCGAAAGTAGTTGCTACTGCCCGACCACGGCAGACACTGTGACACGATTTGGCTGCCGAAAACAACTACAAAGCAGTCATTAGGGTAAATTGTATGGTTAGATTCTGTGTTTAATCTCATTAAATTTAAACGCTAAATACCAGAAATGCATTTAAAACTTTACAGGCCTACACCCCAGTGTCGTCAGGCACAGTTATTTCTTTTCCAACTGTATATTGGAAAAACGACAACATAAAACATGAACAAGCTGATATATCGACTAATAGAGGGCTTCAGAGAAGTGCCTGTTTCT